CTGGATCTTTGGAAGATCATCAATCGGTGCTCAAGAAAATTGTGGCTGACTTGGAGACCATGGAAGTCAAGTATGATGAAGGAGGATTTAGGGTTGATATTGTTATGTTCGTTGTCGCCTTCATATGTGACTTTTAGAGATATCACTATTTATAGTCGAGATATTCTCACTATTGACGAGGTATATGATGCGCTTTATTCTAAGGAGAAGATGAAGCATCTGGTCGTCAATTTTGAGGCTGAGACAGATGGTCTTGTTGTTCTAAAAGGAAGACAGATGGTTATGGAAGGGGCAAAATCAAGGATAGTAACACTGGTAAAGTATGTTGGTATTGTAACAATAAGGGGCATATGAAGAAGGATTGTTATGAGTAGCGGAATATGTTTGCTACTATAGATCAAAATGAACAACTAGAAAATTCCGATAAAGTCAATCTTGCAGAAGAAGACAGTGATGGATATCTTTTGGCGATTACTGAAAGTGACTCCAAACCTGACGAGGATTGAATTCTTGATTCGATTTGCACTTTTCATATGTGTTCAGACCATGATTGGTTTTCTTCATATGAAACAGTTACAAGGGGTTCCGTAATGATGGAAAATAGTGAGCTCTGTAAAATTGCTAGGATTGGAAATGTCAAAATCAAGATGTTTGATAGGACTGTTAAAACACTAGGTCAAGTTTGACATGTTCCAGGTATAAACATGAATGTAATCTCTTTAAGTACTCTTGTTAAAAGGGTATAGATATACCGATGAAGGTGGAATTCTGAAAGTTAGCAAGGGTGCATAGGTTGTGTTAAAGGGACGGAGAAAGTCTCAGTTATATGTGTTAGAAGGTTCGGCGGTCAGTGTGGATGTAGCTATAGCTTATTACTCAATAAGCAATAACTCGGGTAAAGTTGGTTGTGATTGGATTGTTCGTGGTGATTCGAACAATGATATTGGGGAATCTTCTAGGAGCTCAGGTGGAGTTTATTGTGATCTTGTTGATCATATTTCTCGGGGTGATTCGAGCAGGTTTGGCAACTCATGTGGAGTTGGTGTTGCTTATGGTGATTCGAGCAGGCTTGGTAACTCGACTAGAAGTGGTAATGAACGAGATAATTCAAGCAAGGATGGTATGCAAAGTAGTTCTTCTATCAACGAGGACTTGGATTTAGTTCACAATTGCTGAGTATGTCCGGCAAGGGGATGGTGTGCCCAGAAGGGGCATGGTGGAAGAGTTAAATAATGACTTGAAGAGTGAGGACTTAATTTCTTGCTATGAAATTTGCGTCAAGGTGGAGTTTGTTATGTTTTGTGACTCAAATTCCATGTGATTTGAAAGTTTGATTCATAGAAAAAGCCTAGATAATCTTGGATTAGAAGTCCGGATAGATAAAGAATCAAATTTCATACTTGATTGAGAGTTTGATTGGGATTAAAAACTCTACTTCATCCATAACTCCAATATTTGACTCATATAAATACTTCACAAGGTGTAGACTCTTTAGAGACTCAAGATAACAATTAGATCATTTATTGTATACATTAGAAATTTGAGAGGATTATTTAGATTTAGATTTAGATTTAGATAATTAAATTTTGTAAATACAATTTTAGTTTCTTAGTATAGTAAATTCGCCTCTTATTCCACAAAAATCTTGATTGTTGTATGATCAATTATTTTCATATTACTCATATTATTCTCCTCTTTAATTATTTGGCCGGATTTTTAATAGAATTCTATTACCAATTGTATATTAAATACATTCAATGGTTTTTCTTAGACAAATCATAGCATTAATTAACATCAAATACATACATTACGAGCATTAAATGCACACAGAGGGTATCTTCAATGATGATTTGAATATTTCACATCCAAAAAGTGACATTTTTAGCACAATTTATAAGAGTCATAAATTTTGTGTCACCTATACAAAATTCACATTCTTAATTATTACACATTGAATTAAAGAATTGGTCCATTCTAAAATAAGCAAAGATTGTAATAACGATCTCTATGAAAGATAGGAGAAGGAAGAAGACAATAGCCCCGATTGCACTGCCATTAAAAAGAAAATAATAAACAAAAGGATGTCCATTTATAAAAAAAATCGTTCCATAGAAAGTATAAGATAAATGAGAATCTACTTCGCGAGAGTATTGTTTACGTGACCAGAAGAAAGCTTTAGCTAATCGATAACATGCTAAAGAGTTTCCTTAGTATTTTTACTAAATAGTTTACACAATCAAATTAGTACTTCTTTTAATACATTGCATTATAATAAATTAATTGAGGGAAATGCACCATGGTCTTTTATAATCGTCATTTTGGAAGGGTCAAGGTTCTCTCTTTTCAACTCTTGAAGTGAAAATTACTTACTTTGGGACTCTTCAATTATAGCTCATCTATAAAATTTCTTATATAACCAAAATGTGTTATAGAATTTACAGATGCTTCATTGAAATACGTTCGACTTTAATATGTCAAAGTACCTTCTGAGTATATTGAAAATAATTATTTCTTTTGAAAGTAACTTTTTGATTTAATTACCTTTAACTTTTATTATTTAATTATTGTTAAAATTTGCTTACTTAATCTTAAACCTTTTATGCTTAGCTGTACATTCTCAAAGCAGAAAACAAAATTATTACAAGAAAATGCTATTTTTTAATTTTTAATATATTATTTAATGGATAAATTGATCAACTTTTCATTGTAATTGCATAACTAGTTTTAGAAGATAAAATCCATCCAAATCATGTAACTCTTGCATGTTCAATTTCATGAAGCCAATTATTAACATGTGTTGATGCGTAAAGATTAAAGTGAGATGTGTTTCTACCGAAGCTACACGAATTCAAGTACTACTTATAGTTTCAATTTCTGATTTTATTTGTCATGAAGTTGCTACAATGTTGTTTTACATTTATTATTAAACTCTTGTATGGAGTTGATTTTTTGAGAAGTAACTTTTTTGAAGACTAGAGAAAAATTATAAAGAAATGTTGAAAAATAATACTTTCAAAAATTTGTCATAGAAAATAAGTTTAGAGAACAAGTAATTTGAAAAAGAAATATCAAATTCAGTATCCAAGTCTAAATTTGAAATAGGTACCCGGGTAGGTGGGTCTATTCGCATATTTTTGACAGGGCTAATTTCACCGTAGATGTTACATGATGCCAGACGGATTTACAAAATGGAAAATGCTACTTGCCCAGGGTTGGAGACCGACTCAAAAACAGGGATTCAAAATATTTTGACGCGGCACTCTTTTCTCTCTCTTCTTTTTAGAGGGAAACCCACATCTCTCCTTACAACCCGTTTTCCTCTTACAGCCAAAA